ATTTAATGGATGTTATTATACATTATTATACATATAAACCTTCCTCTTCAATCACTCTATCTATTAAAAAAAACCGCATCAAAATCCGTTGCGTAGTTTTAAAGATTTAAGCATACACAGGGACAGACTGATATAGGGACAGAGAAAGCGACTTTGTTCTATACTATGTAGTGATGATGGCTCTCTGAACAGTTGGTTGTTTTTTTTTTCTTACCTATTCTAGTAGCCTCCAGGGGTTATTCTAGATTCACCGAGTGAGCTCACGGGGCTCAAATCGGGAGTGTTGCTAACACTGGCAACAGTTGGTACGAAGCGAATGATCAAGGAATAAATAAAAATCAAGGGTAAACGACAAGAAAATATTCTAATAGTGTCCTTAGTTTGTTAAAGAGATGATTCGCGATGAGTTTATATCATTAATAGTTTCGGTAAATTGATGATAAAGTGAGAACGCAGTGCGCAATAATCACAGCGCTTTATCTTATAATTGATTTTAAAACAATTACACAATATGAAATTCTTTTTGTTGTGAAATGATGTTGATTAAAATTTCACAGCCGTTTGCGTCGATAACGTATTTCGCAGTCGTTAAATATAATATAGTATTTTGTTCTAAAGAATTTTAACACGTTGCGCCCCACGCTTTTTTATTGTTTTTTTATTTTTTTTTATTGCTTAGATAGGTGGACGAGCTCATAGCCCACCTGATGTTAAGTGGTTACTGGAGCCCATAGACATCTACAACGTAAATGCGCCACCCACCTTGAGATATAAGTTGTAAGGTCTCAGTATAGTTACAACGGCTGCCCCACCCTTCAAACCGAAACGCATTACTGCTTCACGGCAGAAATAGGCAGGGCGGTGGTACCTACCCGCGCGGACTCACAACAGGTCCTACCACCTGTAATTACGCAAATTATAATTTTGCGGGTTTCACTTTTATTACACGATGTTATTCCTTCACCGTGGAAGTCAATCGTGAACATTTGTTGAGTACGTATTTCATTAGAAAAATTGGTACCCGCCTGCGGGATTCGAACACCGGTGCATCGCTTCATACGAATGCACCGGACGTCTTATCTTTTAGGCCACGACGACTTCAAGACTTGCTGTTATGTGTGGACAAGCTCACAGCCCACCTGGTGTTGAGCAGTAATGCGTTAGGGTTTGAAGGGCGGGGCAGCCGTTGTAACTATACTGAGAGCTTAGAGCTTATATCTCGAGGTGGGTGGCGCATTTACGTTGTAGATGTCTATGTGCTCCAGTAACCACTACCACCAGTGATTTCACAAATTATAATTTTGCAGGTTTGACTTTTATTACACGACGTTATGCCTTCATCGTGGAAGTCAATCGTGAACATTTGTTAAGTACGTATTTCATTAGAAAAATTGTGGTACCCGCCTGCGGGATTCGAATACCGTTGCATCGCTACATACAAATGCACGGGACGTCTTGTCCTTTAGGCCACGACGATATCGGTAGAGGAGCTCATGTTATTTGCTGTCGCATTATTATTCTAACAAGATTATGTTGTTTGGAATGACAGAAACAGGAATGTATGTTCTGCTATAGCAATAAATAGATGTAGAAATAGCTTGTCCTAGCCGCAAAGTTTGACAACAGCAGATCACGGATCAACAGTCGACCTTAATGCCAAAGTTGCCGCAACTTGCCGAAATACCATTGATTTGGTCTATAGATTTACACGGAATCGCCATTGGTTAATTTCGAATAATGAAACAAATAGAGCCGGCTGGTTGGTTTTACGAAACGTTCGTAAAACACCGTAAATGGTTCGATTAACGGCCGATAGATCGATTAAACTGGACCGAGACTTCGATACGGTTATCGATTAGTGAGGACTAGCAAGAAATACGTGAGGCGATTGCAGTGGTTAACAGCGGATATCGGAGAGGTACATTATTTAGCATACAATTTTTTTATTTTTTTTTTATTGCTTAGTTGGATGGACGAGCTCTTAGCCCAACTAGTGTTAAGTGGTTACTGGAGCCCATAGACATTTACAGCGTAAATGCGCCACCCACCTTGATATAAGTTCTAAGGTCTGGTTACAACGGCTGCCCCACCGTTCAAGCCGAAACGCATTACTGCTTCACGGCAGAAATAAGCGGGGCGGTGGTACCTACCTACCTTTGCGGACTCACATGAGGTTCTATCACCAGTAATATAATAAATTATTATAGAAATCTGTGATTATACGAAGTAAAATATAATCTTCGTCGATTACGACGAAGAGTTTGACGAGCGAACTAATCCACAGACACAGACCACTGAGTTTTTCGCCGGATCTTCTCAGTGGGTCGCGTTTCTGATCCGGTGCTAAATTTTGCGAAGCACGGCTCTTCCTAGGGTTCGTGTTAGCAACGTCGTCATGTTTGAGCCCCGTGAGCTCATGTACTAGTTAAGGTTACGCTGAAATAGCCTCAAAGGCTATCGGCTTAGACAGGAAAAAAAATGCTGCCAATGATCGGAGGCGCTGGAGGGAGGGACATTACAAGAAGTAAAAATCTGTCAAAATATGATAGTCACGACCCTCAGCAGTGAGGAAACGACGCGAGGAGGATAGGTACAATTAGCATGACATAAATTAAAAAAGTTATTTGTTGTTCAAACTATACCTATTCTATATAACTATTTATTTTTAAAGATCAGATTTGTAGGTTTAATAGGTACTAGTTTTGTGTTTTAATAAATATTGAGGGTAGGTAGGTTTCTAAGGCTACTTTTAAAGGTAACTTGTTGTAGGTCTATTGTCTGTTAACATGCAAGTTTCGGTATTGCTTCAGACTTAGTACGCATTCTGCAACACGTTGAAATATTTCAATATTACTTTAAGTATTTATTATGTTTTATCAAACTATAGGTACGCTTGTTTATTGTCCTAAGTTTATAAGGTTAGTGCTCTCCGTTTTTTAAACATTAAAAAGCAGACATAATAACTAATTAAAAACATAGTGAATTGCGTTGTTTCTTACAAAACGTTGATAAATCCATACAACTACCTTATCTACACGTAACGCTTGTTGCTGACTTCAAATATATATTTTAAAAAAAAAAACACATTTTGTAAATCGGTTATCGTCTAGCTCAGAAGTTTTTTTAATTAATTTAAATAATTATCATATTATGTTTATGAGGTAGAGTTTTTGCTGTATTAAATAGGCGGACGAGCTCACCATCACAACATGAATGACCTATCTTTGAGACATGAGGTAAATGGCACAATTGCATTGAATAGCGGCTGCGTATTTAAACAGAAATGCATGACAACTTCCGTGCAGAAATAGGATAGTGGTGTCAACAAATATGGGCATACAATATGTCCTACTCACAGTGACTCAAAGTGTAATTACCAATTTATACACATTAATGTTTCATTGATAACTATATTTAGGTACATGAATATTTCATTTACTTAGTAATTGCATTTGCTAATGCTTTAAATGATTATGTGAAACGAGAATGTTTTTCCTTTTACCTTTCTTCACGATGTAATAATACCAAATTCCATATACACTATTGCACATATTTTAATGCGAATATGGTACGCACAACACAACTCTGCCTATTTCTTTTACACAGTGTGACAGTCTTTATACTATACGAGAATTTGAGACTTTATATTCCATGTCTCATGTGGCGCCCTTAACGTTATGATGTCTGTGGACTCCGGTAACCACTTAACAGCAGGTGAATCAGTTGCCATGACGACTACAATACTGAGCCATAATGAAAAGTAGAATCAGCAATAGTCAAACTGGAGCGTGACCAGGTTTCACTAGCTAGTTATAATTTGAAGTAAAGTTGAAATAACCGACCATATTTTTCATAGGGGACATTTCGTTGTTTTGCCTAATGTGGCTGCGAATGATGATCTTGTATGTAGGTATGGCGTTGCTGATACGAATCAACCAATCCTCAACTGTATCAGAATGGATATCCCATCAAGTCTGAAGGCAAATTCTGTTTACGGCGGATGTTAAATAATGTCCTTTTTAATGACACTGACAGAAAAGCAAACGGTTTACACGAAATTGTTGCTCGTGTCATTAGCAATGTCTGAGAACCGTGAGCGTTCGTCAGCAAGTTTTAAAGGCGAAACATGACGGTATTCTCGAACCTTCGAATTATTCCGTCGAGTTACGAGTATTTAAACGAAATTGTGTGATTATTTAGATATTAGTAGTTTCAGACGAAGATCTGTAACATTTACTCGTTTGAATTCCGCATGATTTATTAGCACTACGTTGGTTTTCCATTGGCCATGACGACCACCATACTGAGCCATGATGAAAAGTAGAATCAGCAATAGTCAGACAGGAGCGTGACCAGGTTTCACTAGTCAGTTGTAATTTGAAGTAAAGTTGAAATAACCGACCATATTTTTCTTAGGGAACATTTCATTGTTTTGCCTAATGTGGCTGCGAATGATGATCTTGTATGTAGGTATGGCGTTGCTGATACGAATCAACCAATCCTCAACTGTATCAGAATGGTAATACCATCAAGTCTGAACGCAAATTCTGTTTACGGCGGATGTTAAATAATGTCCTTTTTAATGACACTGACAGAAAAGCAAACGGTTTACACGAAATTGTTGCTCGTGTCATTAGCAATGTCTGAGAACCGTCAGCGCTCGTCAGCAAGTTTTAAAGGCGAAACATGACGATATTCTCGAACCTTCGAATTATTCCGTCGAGCTACGAGTATTTAAACGAAATTGTGTGATTTTTTATTAATAGTTTCCGACGACGATCTGTAACATTTACTCGTTTGAATTCCGAATGATGTATGAGCACTAAGTTTGTTTTATTAGGTTTGCTTAAAAGCATAGTGCCCTCAATCCTTTAATTTTTAAAAAGCAGCAAGCAACCTTTCTTACTTTTAAAAAACTTTGAGAGCTCCACCGACAACTATTTCGTATTTCAACACTCAATAATATTGACCTACGTACAAAAATAAATATTTATACTCACTTCCTTGTCCTCTATTAGAGTGGCGACGCGACCCGGCTGAAATGAAGAAAAAAAATAATGTTAATTTAACGCGAATAATACGCGCTATTTTTTTTTGTCTGAATTACGTTTTCTAGAATAAGAAAAAAAAAATTTGCTGATTAACAAAGACGATAATCTATATCTATACTAATATTATAAAGAGGAAAGATTTGTTTGTTTGTTTGTTTCGAATAGGCTCCGAAACTACTGGACCGATTTGAAAAATTCTTTTTCCATTAGAAGCCGACATTGTCCCTGATGAACATAGGCTACTTTTTTTTAAATTTTTTTTTTTGTTTCATGTGTGTTTTAATCTTTCCGAAGCGAAGCGAGGGCGGGTCGCTAGTTTATTATAAAAATATATACATAAAATATCAGATTTTGAATAATCAAATCTACTACCTTACATAACGAGTGTCTAGTATATTTTTTTCTGTATTCATCATAACCTTGACATTATTCAGCGAACAGTTTATATTAAAATTGTTTGCCCGTTCCGTTCTGTCAGAAGTATGCCAATAACAATGTTTATTTGGGATTATTCTATTTCGGTAAAAACTATTTGCCAAAATTTTAGTACGTACTGATTGACGTACGTACGTTTGTTATTTATAAAAACACGAAAAACACATTATGAATTGTATAAGCGGTATGTTTTATTTTTATCGATACGCTACATTTTATTTACTTAAGTATTACCGCTTTTACTATGCAACGAAATTGCCGTTTAGTTGGAATAAAAAAGTTTGTAATTTTTTATAAATTTAGTATTTCTTTATTTCTATCAATGAAAATATTGCACCCATGAAATTAATACATATCTGCCAACATTATGTAGTCGAAGTCAACAAAATCATTAAAAGGCATTTTGCAATGCCTCTTGGGTATTGTATTTATGTCCCTACCAAGAAGTCCAAACTTTGGAGAAAGTAGATGATGTCGAAACTTTGGAGAAAGTAAGTAGATGAGGTTGTTTGGGGCATTGCGGTGTTGGGTGACGAACCGGGGTTTATCCTAAATAATGACCGCTTATGATCAAAAGCAATCCAGAGATCTGGAGATTCGTGAACTTTTCCATCAATGTGTCCAGTTACTCAAAGTATATATCCGCCGTCATGCTGGTGTTATTTAGTAAGAAGTTGTGAGGCACGGGCATTAGATCACCAATACAGTGACCATGACTCAATTAAGTGCAACTTTTTGTTTGGGGTATTTACCTAGGTGCTAAACCAGGGTTTAACTGAAATGATGACTACTTATGATTTTCAAAAACATTCCGTTTTTCCTTGCCAACAGCATTGCGGTTCAAAATCCCATTGTTTGTGTGTGTGTTAGGCAACGCAAAGCATGCCTTAATGCTTTTGTTGGTGATCGTTCAGTTCGTGCGGTACCCACCTATCGAGTTTTCTTAATTTGGTAATTTGACGCAATTGGACTTACATATTTTTTTTCGATGTTAACTTTGAAAGCTGTTCCTAACTCAGCGCTAGATCGAGTACACCTGTCGCAGTGAAAGCATGAGGTCTTAGCACAAATAGCATGATGACATCGACCCATACTAACTGAGTCCCATGCCCAACTACCAATCCTTTAGATTGAGGTGGAGATTTACATAGTTCTTAGTTGGGTTATTTTCTATTGATGAGAAGACTGTTATTACGATTCGAAGACAAGTAGAGGCTCGAGAAGGTGATCTCATACCTGAATCTACTGACCAACAACCGAGACATACAGATCAACTGACTTCAAGTCAAACGTGTGACGGGGTTTGTTTGTGCGTCTGGCATTGAGTTTTGTTGCATTATAAGTTTTCTTATGATTCACAAAAATACCGGTGACATACATACATGATTCTGTGCAGGGCTATAAGATATTCTGACGTAAATTTCATTAAAACTGGGTTTTGCCAAGGTTTTGATCTGATTTACATGCTGTGATTATTATTTTTTTTGATCAGGAGGAAATCGCCGGACTTACACGCCTTCCTCTGGGGATGGCGGGCGGAGCATGTCAGAGTCGAACCGACTAAAACCTCCTGTCCCAACAACCAGCGTTCAAGCATCGCATGAGACAGAACTCACGAAAAGGCAAAGGGGGGAAAGTGAAGCGTTTAGTGCGAACACATCTCTCCCATCACCCTCCCCCTCGGAACGGCGGACCGGCGGTCGTCGGCGCCACGACCACCAGCCCTCAAAGTCGACAGGCTATCCGAAGCCCGCCTAGATGGCGCTGGTTAGAGTGAGTGCCTTTTTTGCCTAGCAAGAACACTGCTGAATATACCACCGGATCGGTATTGCGACCGCGGTCTAGTGCCCTCTGCTTTGTCCTGAACGACAGGGCGCTCTATGAAGTTATTTCCTCGCCGGGGGATATGATATGGAAATGATAGTATGCGCCCCTGCACGAGCGCCGAAAGACGCTGCTTAATGAAGAGTTCTTGAAGAATTGAGATATTGGTGCGAAATTTGATCCATGATAGTGTATATTTTAATATTGAACTGTTATTTCAATACTACACAGTGTTTAGTTAGATGCAGAATGCAAACATTAAGTTTCAATTAAGGGCTAATTTGCATTTATGCTAAATTGCAATTATGATCAATATTTTTTTTGCATTACAAGCCGTTAGATTTAAACCAACTAAGCCTCCCCTTCCCATTTGAACCAATTAAAGCAACCTTTATACGTCTCTAATGAAACAGAACACTGCACAGATGAAGAAAGAAAGTTTATCAAACCAGTCGCAATTATTATCACTTGAAACTTTTGCCTTCCTGTTATTACTAATACACTTGGTCTTATCAAAGACAGACAAGCTAATAGCCCCGCTAATTGTGTGCGGTCATGGCAGGAAAATACAGCAATCACAAAAAAGTACAAACAAGCCTTGCCCTTGCGGATTTCCTCAAGGCTTGAAGAAAGATATACATATGATAGTGCGTCAGGGACACTGTTACTTCGAGTTTATTTTAGACTGAATGGTGCATGGCAAAACAATATCATGAGATATACTCAGGCAAAAATAATTATAATGAAATAATAATCTGCTCCTGTGGCCAATATATATAGGCTATATTCAAGATTGGGGCAGGATAATCCCAGAGAAAGTTATAAAGGGAGGCCACGGCCCTCAGCATTGAGGATTATCAACCCAAGGAGGAATGGCCAATATAGTAGAACTGCTGTAGTAAGTAAACAGGAGACAAAGAATCATTTAAAAAAATGTGTAGACAGACCCAAAGTCTCTTTAGACTCAATGTAACCATTTCCATGCAAATCACTTTTTGGATTCATATTTTTATTTATTTATTGCATAGATGGGTCACGCCCCACCTGGTTATAAGTGGTTACTGGAGCCCATAGACATCTACAACTTAAATGCTGCCACCCACCTTGAGATATGAGTAGTAAGGTCTCAGTATAGTTACAACAGCTGTCCCACCTTTCAAAGCAAAATTCATTACTGCTTCATGGTAGAAATAGGCAGGGTGGTGGTACCTACTTGTGAGGACTCACAAGAGGTCCTATCATTAGTAATTATGCAAATTATAATTTTGCAGGTTTGATTTCCATTACATGATGTTACTCCTTCACCCTGGAAGTCAATCGTGAACATTTATTAAGTACCTATTTCATTAGAAAAATTCATAAAAAAAATACCCGCCTGAAGGATACGAAAACCAGTGAATCACTCAACACGAATGCACCTGACGTCTTATCTTTTAGGCCATGAAGACTTCATATGTGACAGTACAGTATAGTATCACATATAAATTAAACTTATATGTTGTAAGCATTTAGAATATTTCCAATAATGGAAATTACTAATTGAAATAATGCGAGCATTATGAATAAATGCAAGAAATTTAAGCTTTTGAATTTTAGAAATATTGAGTATATAATTGACAGTTTATTATTATTGACTATATTATTTACAGCAAAGGCCTGTCATTAATAATAAAATACATACATATATCTGGATTCTTATATTAAATTTAATATTTAGATCAACACTCAATCATTTATCACTTTGTATACACATAATACTTTGTTTATTTATGTTTATAATCTTAATTTAGGTATTAAGATGCTGGCTGAGAGTTATGTCCAGTAGTACGGTATGATTTAGTGGGAGATACAAAAAAGGTGCTTCTGTTTATTTTCAATAAAAATAAATATCAAACTTGAAACTCAGTTTTCCAGTAGGATCCCTCGGCTTTTCATAGCACTTGACGTACTCTAAAGAGTCTCAATTATATTTCAAACCTGATGAATTAGGAACTTTAAGCTTACCTTATCTTCTGTTCCACGATGAGTGGTGTTCCCTTGCCAGAATCTCCTTGAGAAACCTTTTACATAACCAGTCAAGGATTGCTGGTATTCGAACCCTGGATTCCAGCAAAGGGAACCATAACCAAATACCCAGAAAGGTTCCTTGTTAGATTCTGTTTTTGATTCGGAACTGCTCGCTTCGTTTCTTAACTTATCCATTTTTGTATACAAACACAAACAGCTTTTATAATTGAAATTAGTAACACTTAAATTCGAATAGAAAGTGTGAAAGCAAAATGATAAAAAGACGAGTTAAATGTGTTCAACGGACATACATAGAAAAAAAAATATTTTCATTTATATTCATATCTCGCGCTTTTAAACTTTAAATTTACACTATAATTTAAATAACTTCTACGCTAAGAGTTATCCATCGCTCTTTAGATCTTAATGCAAACTGACGAGTGACGATTTTAGGTAGGTGAAATTGACGTTATATTTTGCGCGAATTACGTTACGTTGTACGTAACATAAATCGTGCAATCCTGATTCACATTGATTCGGCATTTAATTTTAAAAAAAACATAGGTACAACATGTATATAAAAATTCTTCTACGCCTTTGCGGTGACAAAGAAGTAAAAACGTTACTATTTATAGAAAACATTTTTTTGAAATGAATGAAACTTATGCGTTCGACGGAACGACAGGTATTTCTAATAGCAGCCATACAATTTTTTCAGCCAATCACAGTGATCACCTAGAAATTTCGTAACGCTATTGGTCGAGACCTGCATGATGCAATTTTTGAAGTTCTTTCCAAGTCTAGTTGGTAATTATTGTATTGACTGAGTATTTAGTCTCACCCATTAAAAATACCGTTGAGGTTAATGGCAGTGGAGTGTTTTGTAAAATACTTTCATAGTTTTTGACGCATAAGTGTATTGCCGCTGTAGCCCACATGACTGGATACTTACTTAAAAAAGCTATACACCATGTGATCGAAAAATTGATTGCTTGTCCTAAAGCTCTCAGTTGTCTTTTCTTACTCCCTCATTCCAAAATAATTATGAAGTCTCCTTTATGTCATTAAAAACCATATCATTTATTTCAACTTAAATGTAATTAAAGCATAGATAGGTCTTGTTTTAAAAGACCAATAACAATTCTATATTCAAATAAAACACGAAACTCTAATATCAATCCTTTAATCCACAAAACTTTTCATATAAACAAGCAATTTAATTATTTTTCAAAATTTGTTGTTCTTCCTCCCATATCTTTAATTCGACTGAGTTTGGCTGACTAACTACACTTTAATTACCTTCTTAAATTCTTTTTAACTGCGTTGAACTCACATTGTGCACGCATGAACATATAAAGATATTTTGCAGTATGAAACTGCCGTAAAACTGGAATAGATGAAAATTGAAGTCGTCGTGGTCTAACGGATAAGACGTCCGATGTATTCTTGTTGAGCGATGCACCGGTGTTCGAATCTCAGGCGGGTACCAATTTTTCTAATGAAATACGTACTCAACAAATGTTCACGATTGACTTCCACGGTGAAGGAATAGCATCGTGTAATAAAAATGAAACCCGCAAAATTATAATTTGCGTAATTAGGTACTGGTGGTAGGACCTCTTGTGAGTCCGCGCGGGTGGGTACCACCGCCCTGCCTATTTCTGCCGTGAAGCAGTAATGCGTTTCGGTTAGAAGGGTGGGGCAGCCGTTGTAAATATACTTGAGACCTTAGAACATATATCTCAAAGTGGGTGGCGCATTTACGTTGTCGATGTCTATGGGCTCCAGTAACCACTTAACAGCAGATGGGCTGTGAGCTCGTCCACCCATCTAAGCAATAAAAACAAAATAAATAAAAAAACTCCTGAGACATCGTGCCAAAGATTTATTCAGAGTCTAAAGCACTGATGTTATATTATCTAGGAACCAGTCTCGTTAGTACAGCTAGCTATTTAAAGCAGTAAAGAGTTCGATATGTGACTAGCCCATAGCCACAACCCGGTTTCACGCCGGATCTTCTCAGTAGGTTGCGATGCGGTGGTAGATTCTGCGACGCACTGCGCTAGAGCCAGTGCTAGCAAACTCTTTCAAGTTGCCCCCTCGGTCACCGTCCTCGTCGAACCCGTTGCTTACGAAGAAGTGAATTAACCCATAGACACAGCCCACTGAGTTTCTAACCGAATCTTCTCAGTGGGTCGCGTTTCCGATCCAGTGGTAGATTCTGCGAAGCATTACTCTTGCTAGGGCTAATGTTAGCAAACTCTCTCAGGTTGAACCCGTGAAGTCATCTACCGGTCCGTTTGTAGTTAGACTTAGAATAGCCTCTTAGGTTGCCAATGATTGAAATGAAAAAAAAAAAAAAACTGTTCTTGAAGAGTTAGTGTCGGACTGGACAGCGCCCCTAATTAGTGTTTCGCATACTTTCACCAGCTTTTAGGCTCGGTCCACAACATAGGCGAAAAGTGAAAGAAAACCTAAAGACTTCGGAGTTTTTCGTATCTTGATCATGCAGGAACTAGTCATCGTTGACGCCCTAGACACGTCCTTACGGGTCCATCAGATACAATAACCCTTGCATTAGACACCTTTAGCTCTAACACTAGGAGTAGGGGCCCCGGTAACTGTACTCATCGAACTTGGCAAATAATTCGACGTGCAACCTAACCTAAACATCAGCCCGCTGAGTTTCTCGCCGGATCTTCTCAGCGGGTCGCGATTCCGATCCGGTAGTAGATTCATTCGCGAAGCAATCACTCTTGGGTTGTTAGGTCTCCTTTGGAGGCGCTCGAGTAGCTGTTAACAAAACCCAGTCCTCTTTACTTAGCCCTTGCTCGCTCACCTGCCCTGGTAAAACCGGAAAGGCCTCCGGGCCACCAGTAATCTCTCATACACAAAAAAAAGTTTTTCGTCTAGCCCAATTATGATATGAGAAGCAAACTTATAATATGGGTAAGCAAAGGTTACATCAAAGAGGCAACAAATAGAACATATGCTCTATAAGTCTTTAGTATTACAATACTTCCGTCGACATCTTTATACATTCTCAACCACCCCCAATAAACTTGACTGATAGAAAAGAAATAACAATGAAATAACTTCGTGTAATAAAAATCAAGGCTGCAGAGATTGTTTGCTTAATTATTTGTGGTAGGACATCTTGTGAGCGCGACCGCGTCGGAAACGCCAATAGCCCTGTCTATTTCTGCTGTGAAGCGTCACTGCTTCTCGGTTTGAAGGAAAATGCAGCTGTTGCGCTTACAATAAGGAGATTTAGAACTCATGTCTCAAGGTGATGGTGGCATTTATGTTGTATACTATGGTCAGTAGTAACCACTTAACGCCAGGTGGGTTGTGAGCTCGTCCACCTATCTAAGCAATAAAACGATACCAATCGGGGAAAAGTTTGGGTAAATCTAAGGTATAAAGCTATAAAGTCCTGTTAGCTAATCAAGATTTTAGAGAAAAAAAAAACACCAAATTAATTCAGTAAAATATGGTCCATATATTTTTCCATATCGAATAAAATCACAATGCGTTAGTTATTTTACACAAATATAACTAACCGACAAAGAGTATTTTACGGTGAATAATTCTGCTATTTCACATTTACGCTACATAATATGCCCTGAAGAGAATTATATCCGATAAAAACATCAACAATTTGTAAGAGTGCAGAAGATTAACTTCAAAAATACGTTAAATATTTTTATATATATAAATATATGATATAATCCCTCAACACGGTAATAAATATAGAAATATATTGAAATTGGAATGATTGTTACAAACTGGAAACATGTGTAATACGGGTCAATAATTTAGGATAGCCATTTCATTTATATTATAGATTATGACACGCATACAATTATTGGATTTCGAATATTATAAACAGGATAACGCTTGAATCATGTCCAAAAGGTGACATGTTTCTTCGACAAAAATCTCCGTGCAACATTACAAATAACGAATTTAATATTACGTAGGTAAGTATCAGTTTTGTACTACAATGACGCAGGGTTTGCAAACATTTATAGGTATTTGTATGTATGTATTACTATAGAATATGTCAGGGACTTACGAACTTTAGCAAATTTACTTATCCTTTCCTCTACGTCACAGATAAAATTACATAATAATATATCATAATGTGATGTTTTATTATTATTATTTAAATGCAACTTACAGCAACATTACATGGTTTTTTTTCATCAGATCTTGTTTGGCGAAGCAAACGCCGAATATTATTTTTTAAGTGACAGAAATTAAAATTATGTTTTTTTAATTATCACAAATTACAATTGCTTTCAAAATGACTCCGTTACATATTTTATAAATTATAATTGCATGTTGCCCAGTAGTAAACCTGTCCAAGGTAATTATTTCTTAACGACAGTATGGAGACAATGAACGTGGCGATTACATTTATGACCATTGTTAATGACAGGCTCAATAGTAATCTGATATAAGCAGAAGTATATTTGTTTTGTGCTGTTTCCCTAACTCTCTCATACATGTATGTTGCTGCTTAAGGCGTATAACTACATAATATATACATAATAATATAACATTTATATACTAGAAACGCACCGAGAACTTGTGATAAAGTAGGTAACTAATTTTACAATAACCATTTGAGATTACAGATCATAATATCAATTAATATTTACAAGAATATCTTCATAACGCGATATTTGGCTTTGAAGNCCCTAACTCTCTCATACATGTATGTTGCTGCTTAAGGCGTATAACTACATAATATATACATAATAATATAACATTTATATACTAGAAACGCACCGAGAACTTGTGATAAAGTAGGTAACTAATTTTACAATAACCATTTGAGATTACAGATCATAATATCAATTAATATTTACAAGAATATCTTCATAACGCGATATTTGGCTTTGAAGTGTTTATTTTATGAGGAAAATCTCTGTGGAATGTTCTCCGGGGAAAAACTTCGAAGAAAATCCTGTCTTTTACTATGGTCATAGTCGGTAGTCATCTTATGAGGTTTTTACGTCGCCAGTTGAAGGCGATGATTATATATTACTAATATTTATATATTACTAATCTACGGAAAATACTGAGAAAATCTTATTGATTTTCTTTAGAGGTGGCTGTTGACAATTCTTATAAATGATATTATGAAGAAAAAAAGATCCCAGAGAAAATTGAAATAATACTTTTCTCATCATATCGACGCTTGAAAGGCAAACGTGACTAAGCGACAATGCGTGTACTTTACAGTAGACTAATTTAAAGTTGAAATACCTGAAAACAAAATTTATTTTAACGAATCTAGTTGTAGTAGAATCTAGCTAGTAGCTGTAGAATTAAAATGATTTTAATAGACCTAGATATATATATTTTTTTTGCGCATCGAATATGGTTATTGCCTATCATTTAAGTACAAAGCAGTTATTGTCGCTTAGTCACGTTTGCCTTTCAAGCGTCGATATGATACTGGCTGGTTGTTTTTCGTTACACAATAAGACCACTTTTTTTTATTTGTATCTCAACTATTGCGTCACTATAAAACGAAACCAGAGTTGGAACGTTGTCACGCGATTATTGCATGCCATTTCAAACGTCGACAAAAGTGTTTATGGCCGAGAAAGTTCTTTTTTCTTAGTCAGTATTGCAAGCGATGCAACTGTACTGCGTGTAAATGGGACTTATCATTTTTCTCTTATTATGTAGAAGAAAGCGATAGGAGACAAGATCTAGAATGATCCGAATACCTTTTATAGAGATTCTGATTCGATCCAGAGAGGGTCCCGATTTAGTAGTCTCTCGCTGCTCTATTCAACAGCCTATCAACAATTATAACATGATACGGGCATTGAGGATTTGAATCAATGTATTCGAAGAATTTCATTTGACTACGAAGAGATTCGGATATTTTTTATAAATTGGCTCGATATTCCGAGATATTGGCGCGAACACAACCCGATTTACGAATAACAATGCTATCAGAGTTGTGTCGTGATAGAAATATTTAATCGGCGCTTTTAGGGTATTGTTTTGGGCTTACACTTAAGGTATCACTATATTATAGAAACAAACGTCATACAACTAACTGACCCTATCGAACTCCTCCGTTAAAGGCCCACCGATAAAAATATGAACGAACTTTTTTATTTGACCGGGTTATTTGACATTTAAAATTGCCTGGCAGCATGAAAATAAAACTAAATCCTGAAGTCTAAGTTGTATTTTGAACGACGGTATTCTTTTAGAATTTTATTCGAATTAAAAAAAAATCATCTTGAATTAGCGCTTGATTCTATAACTTCGAAGTATTCCAGAACATTCCACAAATAAACGTTATTGCTAATATTATTATTAAAAATTGTGATGCTTATAACACCTAGACATTGCTAAACAACTATTTACAATCAGACTTTTTACAACGCGATCGACTTACTACTTTTTTTCTTCCGGGAATAAATAGTAATTATTTCGACCCAATGTAAGAAAATTATTGAGATTCTACAATATTCTTGATTCAGAACAATGATAATTATTCTTAAAAATACGACCGAGTAGGTACCACAGAAATTACTTTACTACTCTGTCAGAACAGGAGCTAGTAACAAAATTCAAATTCAATAAGACTATATTTTATGTTTTGTAACTTTGTGAATGTTAAAAAAAAACCGGAAAACAAAGCGTCAAAAGTATGTTTTAAATAAGAAAAATATTTTCCAGTTTTTCATTTTTTTTTAAACACAACAGTGTGCTTAGTGTGAGTTTTTTAACTTTCTCGATAGCGTAAAAGTTAACCCAATTTTGTATGCAGTTAGAACAGCGCCTCTAGCGGCAAAACTCGCACTGAGCACACAGGACTCTCGAAAAAGGCGAGTTATTGTGTGCAATGACAATTATCGTCTAGAACTAGTCGCACTATGACAAAACTCGGATCGATATGTTAACAATGATGAAAAATAAAGCGACACTCGCATTACAGAAAAACAATCTCATTGTGTAGTGATTTTGTTGTCTGTACTTGAGTTTTGAGTGAGTCATAACGAAGTTATTAATAATTTTCAACGAAGCTATGTACGTATCTTTAACCCTATAATTCCTAAACACACAACAGGTACGGTTTGAATGTGATCCATTTATTTAAATATTGAATTACTTTAAAGTTTTTATTTATAAAATATGACTAGTGATATGTAACGATAACTTTACATATGTTAATGGTAAAATNAAGTTATTAATAATTTTCAACGAAGCTATGTACGTATCTTTAACCCTATAATTCCTAAACACACAACAGGTACGGTTTGAATGTGATCCATTTATTTAAATATTGAATTACTTTAAAGTTTTTATTTATAAAATATGACTAGTGATATGTAACGATAACTTTACATATGTTAATGGTAAAATATTATTATTTCATATAGTTTTTTTTTTTAAGATTTATTATATTATGTTGTCGACATATATGGATTTAATATCGACAAATCTATGAGTAAGGTTCGAGTTTATTAAATTCTAACAATTATTTTTGTCGATATGAAATACATCCACATCAACACTACGATATACTTTTCAGACATAGAAATACATATTGCATTAATAAAATATTTACAACGCACCATAGGGTTTCTCCAACTAAATTTACTAAATATATCTCAAATAATTCAGGCTTTTTGGTGGCTCCCTTCACGGGATAACAAGGATCCAAAACATTTAAAATGGAGGTAGTTAAATGTTTAGATATATATATATATAAATTTAATCTAATATTATGCATTTTAAATCTTAAATCTTAATACGAACTTGAATCCCAAAGAGATGAATTAAATATACGCATGCGATATGCGATAACATCAACATTTATCGTAACGAGATTAAAAACAATCGGATAATCGATTAAAAATTTTGGTCACGAATATCGATAATTTAATATTTAAAACACTCACGAACATACATTGAGAAGTATTTTAGGTAAAATTTGTACAACACATTTTAAAATTAAAACATAACATTTAACACCACTACTAGGTCCGACGCTATTGTTATTTAAATATATATCGATAGCGGCCCCATTGAAATTATCGACCTTATTCCGTTCACCTTAGAGTCCGTTTCACGCACAGATGACGTCACCACGCCTACTTAAGCCAGGGTTGGCTTAAGTGGAATGCTTGGATCATACGTTGGATTCCGGGCCTTCCGTGTTGTGCTTGAACGAGGCCCGAATCCTGGCCAAGTACAGGGCGCAGATATGCCCGTAGCATTTATTGTACCATTCTGGCGTTCGACCCCTGAGAATTACAATGATAAATTAATATGAAATTTGTAACAGAGCAAAAGGAGAATTGTTTGTTTAACTTTCGTTAAATTTAGTCGTTTTTATATAAAATTCAATTTTTTTAGGTTATGATTGTTTTTTTTTATTGCTTAGAGAAAGTGGTTACCGGAGCCCATAGACATCTTCAACGTACACCTTGAGATATGAGTTCTAAAGTCTCAGTATAGTTACAACGACTGCCCCACCCTTCAAACCGAAACGCATTACTGCTTCACGGCAGAAACAGACAGGGCGGCGGTAGCTATCCGCGCGGACTCACAAGAGGTTCTACCACCAGTGAAATTCCAAATTCAAATTGAGAGGTGCGTACTCACATGGTGTCGACCCTGGCCAGGTGCACGAGGCGGCTGCGCCCCTTGCCGGCCGGCTGCGCGAGGTACCGGGAGGCGAGCACCACGCCGCGCGGGCCGCACGCGGGCGCCGCGCCGTGCGCCACCGACGTCTCCGCCACGGCGCACCACCCGCCCCCGCCCCCACCCCCGCTGCCGCTCCCACCACTGCTTTGCTGCCACGACCTGAAACCAACAAACGATAAATCATAAGGTACCTAATTACTGAAGATTTCAGACGCACGAAACATTCAGAAGTTTGTTAGTAGTGATTACTACTTTTACATCGGAAGCCTCAACCTTTGAGCCTATTTCGGCCGTGAAGAAGTAATGCGTTTCGATTTGAAGGGTGGGACAGCCGTTATAACTATACGGAAACCTTAGAACTTTTAAATTAAGGGGGGTAGCGCATTTACGCTGTAGATGTCTATGGACTCCAGTAACCACTTAGCAACAGGTGGGCTGTGAGCTCGTGTACCCATCTAAGCAATCTCGGCTGTTTTGTAAAAGTTGTACAACATGTTTTGTAAAAGTTTTCTTAAGTGGTAATCGGTAGCTTAGTTGTACCCCTAGCATTATTGATGTCCATTGACGACGGAGACAACTCATAATTAGGTGGGTCGCTTGTTCATTATCCAATACAAAATCGCGTCTTAAAGACTGAAACCTAAACATTTCAAAAAAAAAATTGATAGCCTTGAGAGGCTATGCCAGCGTAACTTAACAAGTAGGTGAGCTCACGAGGCTCAAACTTGACGATGTTGCTAACAGTAACGCTACAAGCAGAGCAGTACTTCGCAGAATCTACGGGAACGCGACCCACTGAGAAGATCCGGTGAGAAACTCAGTGGGCTGTGTCTATGGGTTAGTTTACTCGCCGAGCCCTTCGTCGTAGGCGACAAGTTCGACAAGAACAGTGACGAAAATCTTGAACTCACCGCAAAACGCAGTACTCCCGCGGCGGGAGATTTATGCAGGAAGCCGATACGTATTGGAACACTTCGGCGTTGGCACCAAGTTTTTCTGCAATCCTCCACTTCACTAGCGAATCATCCCAAATATGCCGCTCGCGGAGGATTCTAGAAGGATAGTTATAATTTACACATATTTTATATTATAAAGCGTGATCCATAGCATACAGCGTATTCTGTAAGTAGTGTAACTATGAAACTTAAAACACTCGCATTGCATATTCTATATATAAAACGTATTCTATTGAAGACAAAGTTTTATAAATACACGATTTTATAAAGGAAGTATCCCGTTGGACTTAAAATATGTCTATGTCTAAACACCAATATAGTAATAAAAAACAAAAGAAATGCAAAACATTAAACGCAAGAAGTACAATGGGTGGTCTTATCCTTAAGGGTGACTGAGCTATTGCATATTTGATAACCTTCAAGTTGACGAGTATCATCTAGTGAAACATATCAATTGCTGTATACTCGTAGCTACTTTTTGAAATAAAGTTTGATAATATTATTATATTTCCATGGTAATATTTTCTATTCTACATCTAAATAAGTAAATATATTATAACACTTCATTTAAATTAATCTAATCTAGACAGAATAGACGGAAATAGCTAACCTTTGAACTACCTCCTGTGGCGGGGCTTCCACGTCTGTAGTCGCCCTCCACAATCTGAGTGGATGACCGTCTCCCACTTTCTTACAGCAGAGCTCCACATGCGGCGCCGCACCAGAAACTGACATCCATCCTCTTGTTCTGTAAGTTCACAATCATAGTCAATTGCCAGAAGTTTTTTGCACTGACTATAGCAGAATTATTTTGTCCGTGCAGTTTGGGTCATAAAAAATCGGAGCGGTGAAGCGAGTATTACACTCTCTCTTCCACTAACGAGCCTTATTTTGAATAAATTCTGCCATTTTGATACAAAACAAAGGAGTAGCCATTGTGTCACTAAAGAAATTTAGATAACGAATGCATAAAAACTCATTTCTCCTCGACATCATGTACTATAATTTGCAGGTAAGTACAAGTAACTCATAACATATCAATGTTTCACTACCCTTCGTATACCACCCCGCCGCCGTATACCTGCCTTCGATGACTCTTTTGTTTTTATCGATAATGGCGTTGCGCCCGTGCAACATGCTCACCGCCCTAGCTGGGCTATGTTTTATGACCCAATTGCACGGACAAAATAATTCTACTATAGTTAGTCCAAAATTCATATTCAATCAATATCAATTAAAAGTAAGTAAAGTTTAGATTTTTTATTTATTTCATATATTTAGTTCATTCTCAAATAAGTTTTAACATTTTTAAAATTTGTTACAGATTACCAATTTTAATACAAATAGATAAACACTTTACACAGCTAAGTGGCCACGAAACATCTACAATGAGAATGAAGTGAGAGTTGATCTTAAAGAATCATAACAATTCTGTTCATTATTAATATCATTAGTAAAAGCAGAAAAAGTAAAAAATGCTCTAGTAATTATCAGCATATCATCTAAATAAAGCGCTATATTCAAGATCAGAACTGCAGTAATTCTCTAAAGATGATCGAATGTCAGTGATAAACGCTCTAACACCGATGTCTCACCTCTTTCCCGAGCGGCCACAGACTCTAAAAAGCATGAAAAAAGTTAGATCTATAAGAAGTGACAGTTGGAAAATAAATTTATACATATCTATAAGTAGAATAAAGTATATTGGAGTTAGTCGACTTTTGTTTACCGTAAATCTATTAAAGATCAATACGTACTTTTCTTTGGCTTCTTTGATTAAAGCTTTGATGCAGGCCTGCTGAAAACCTTTCCAGTCTTGATTGAAATCAGCTCCCAATTCTTCTAATGACACCTGAGATACAAAGAATTTCGTGAATTCAATGAAGCAATTTAGTTTTGTTCGCCTCCTCTTGTGTTTGTTTTTACAGGGGGATTTAAAAGTGGAGTAATGATAAATGATTTGAGAGACTATTTTATTTTTCAGGACACATTGTGTTAATAATGGATTCATACCGGTACACTCTCTTCGAAGTAGTTGAATTTGCATCTGGCCAGCATGTCAGCTGGAGCCAGAAACAATTGCGTGTGTTTCTGTATCAACAGCAGTAAGCAAGCGTGGGCTGCCCGGCTCTCGCTGATCTGCCTTTGATCCGCTACGCTTTCTATCACCATCCTGTTGAAACGCGGAATCTGAATTTATCAACGATAACATAACGGAATCTGCATTTATCAACGATATTAATGATAGATCTCTCAACACTAGTCCGCAGCATCGGTTCATGACTTAACCTAACCTAATCTTTCTTAAGAAGGAAGGAGCCTGGAGATCAGTAATACAGGTCTTTGAACCTAGTATGACTTCAGCTCTTTCAAAGGCTTACAAAATAAATTATAAGGTTAATTTCCATTTGTATTTGTATTATACCTTTAAGAGAGAAATAAATAAATTATCATTATAATTGTCATTAATTACTTTAGAGATCTTAATATCTGACAATTAGCCATTAGCAAAGCTTCGGAGCCATCAATCTCCATTTCTCAAATTTTATACATTTTCAACGCGCGAAAATTTAATCTAACATTATTAGATTTCATAACGCAATTTCTTATGGTTTCTCTACGATGAGCGTTATAAATCAGGAAATTAAATTATTTGATGGTTTTACCTGTTAGAATTCCCTTCTTTAGTGCTCCCAGTCTGCGGTGGAGCGTGATGCAGCCTCAGTAATGTTGGTGCCAGACAAACAGCCAAATTCGATGCTGTCATTTGATTCACCGCGGAATGTTCGGCTACCTGTAAAGACATTTACAAATCATTAAGCTACGTGTATAATATTGAAGTTGTTTTAATTGTTGAGAATACTACAAAAATAGGTAACGTAAATAGGCATTGACATAGTTAAGATTGACTTTTATGCTATAAGAAAAAAAGCAATTTTTAATAAAAATACACTAAGCTGAAACTAAAAACAAATATAAATATCTAATACTAACTGACCCAGCAGACTTCGTAGTGCCTCAATCCATAAATAAAAGACCTAAACTTTTATCTATACTAATATTATAAAGAGAAAAGATTTGTTTGTTTGTTTGTTTCGAATAGGCTCCGAAACTACTGGACCGATTTGAAAAATTCTTTTTCCATTAGAAGCCGACATTGTCCCTGATGAACATAGGCTACTTTTTTTTAATTTTTTATTTATTTTTTTTTTTTTGGTTTCATGTGTGTTTTAATGTTTCCGAAGCGAAGCGAGGGCGGGTCGCTAGTATAAAATAAACTTAAAACAAACAAAAGGAATCCTTCCGACGGGGGACACTTCAAAGGAAAAACAAAATTGTTATTTTTATTTAATTCCGAGCATATCTACCTTTTAAACCTTCTCTGGACTTCCACAAATAATTCAAGGTCATTTTTATATAATATATAGAATATAGATATAGATTATGAAGACTCACGTCAGAAAGAAATATGAGTAGTGAATGCAAAGCCTCCAAGTGCTCTTCGGGCAGCAGTAGTAATGCACATTGCACTGCATCAGGACGAAGAGGTTCAGGGACATCTGAAATTATTTGCAAATTGGGATAAATCAGTAATTTAACGATTGCTTTATAGTCGTCGTGGCCTGAAGGATAAAGACTTCCAGTGCATTCGTGTTGAGCGATGCAACAGTGTTCGAATCCGGCAGGCGGGTACCAATTTTTCTAATGAAATACGTACTCAACAAATGTTCACGATTGATTTCCACGGTGAAGGAATAATAACATCGTGTAATAAAAATCGAACCCGCAAATTATAATTTGCGTAATTACTGGTGGCAGGACTCTTGTGAATCCGCGCGGGTAGGTACCACCACCCCGCCTATTTCTGCCGTGAAGCAGTAATGTGTTTCGGTTGGAAGGGCGGGGCAGCCGTTTTAACTATACTGAGACCTTAGAACTGATATCTCAAGGTGGGTGGCGCATTTACGTCGTAGATGTCTATGGGCTTCGGTAACCACTTGACACCAGGTGTGCTGCAAGCTCGTCCATCCATCTAAGCAATAAAAATAAAAATAAAAACATCAAATTATTACAGCAAATGTCGTTTGATTATTACTTACGTTGAAAAATAGCAATAAAAGTTTCGCTGAGTTTATTTGTGAGCAATGCATCGGGTAGTTCCCTGAAGTATTGCTTAACCATGTCCGCGACGTCATGAGCCTGAGCACCATCGAAGTTCAAGCTTGACTGGTTCTGATCGATGGTGTTCATGTTCTCTATAGCGAATGCGGCATTAGCTGCACCGGCTGCTTCGACAACGCTACGAAGTTTTGCAATCCTTGATTTCACTCCGGCCTTCCTGAATATGCCCATCTAAAAATTTAAAACGGAAAGTTGATAAATCATTTACATAGTACCAATCTTGAAGTGTATTGGAACACCAAAGTATACCCTTATACGTGATTTCAAATGAGATGCATCCATTATCAATCACATGTTAAAGTGAATTTGTAAGCTGAGCTAATAAATGATTTTTGATAATAATTTTTACTGGTGGCAGGACCTCTTGTGAGTCCGCGCGGGTAGGTACCACCACACCGCCTATTTCTGCGGTGAAGTATTATATAGTAAGGCGTTTCGGTTTGAAGGGTGGGGCAGCTGTTGTAATTATACTTGAGACCTTAGAACTTATATCTCAAGGTGGGTGGCGCATTTACTTTGTAGATGTATATGGGCTTCAGTAACCACTTAACACCAGGTGGGCTGTGAGCTCGACCACGCAACTAAGCAATAAAAAAATTATAAATGTCAAATATTATTAATTAAAGTTATGTCATTTTAATGTAATTTAGTTAGGTATATAGAAACACTAAAAGGTCCTGACCTGATCTAAAGCATTGGTTTTCAGCCAGTTCAAAGCACACTGGATCGGTTTGGGGAGTGCGTGTCCAGTCCTTTGCAGTGACACAGTCAGGGGTACACCAAATACTGTTTTATCTGAAAAACATCAACACAAAAATTCAGAATATTTTCATTGTTTTTAAGGAATTTGTCACCTTATTTTTAGAGTTAAAAAAAGTACTCAATTCTCCATAGTTGAAAAGATCGCCATGGGGAAATTGATTTAAAGGATCGTCGAAGAAAACGGCCTAATCTATTTTCGTTCTAGAAAAAACAAAGATGAATTATGCTGCGGTATTGCTTAGGTCTACGGTGGTAGAATAGATTGTTGGTTTCTTCAATTAGTACCTTAAAACAATCCCAGTGGAAGAGACGAAACCGTACAGAAAGAGTACCGTGATCAGTTCTTTATCGTGTCAAAGCGGGACGTCTACGGAATTTCGTATATATAAATAAATAAATAAATATTTACTAACACTCACGCCACGTTAACTGGTCCCGTGATAAGTTTGTAAAGAGATTGTGTTACAGGTACCAGATAACGGAAATAAATATAAAATTTTTATTATACACATACACATATTTAATATACATCCATAACCCTGGAAAAGAAATTTATATTTATCATACAAATATCTTCCCTTGGCGGGATTCAAACCCGCGACCCCCTTGTGTAGTGACCATGTCACTTACCACTACACCAGACTACATATTATATAGGGTACGTCGGGGTAAGATGTAATATTTAAGTACAAAATAAAAAAAAATGCTTTAAAAAATGACTTGAAATAATTTATTATGGTATCTTACCCTGACATCTTACACTGACATCTTAATTCTTACACCAATTTGCCCTTAAAATAATATTTATAAATAATTTCGCAACAAGAGACTACTTTTCTACAGAAAAAATTTAGTTACTTTAGTATGTATTTTGTAATACAATAAGGATTTGGGATAAGTAAGTAGGTATTCGGCAAGGTTCTAATAAACAAATGCACAACAGATAAATGAAAGCAGGACATGTTTGTTCTCGTTGGGGACAGCGGGACGGACAGCCTGAAAGCGGGATTGCCTAGATGTGTGGACGAGCTCACAGCCCACCTAGTGTTAAGTGGTTACTGGAACCCATAGACATCTACAACGTAAATGCGCCACACACCTTGAGATATAAGTTCAAAGGTCTCAGTATAGTTACAACGGCTGTCCCGCCCTTCCAACCGAAACACATTACTGCTTCACGGCAGAAATAGGCGGAGTGGTGGTATCTACCCGTGCGGACTCACAAGAGGCCCCAATACCAGTAATTACGCAAATTATAATCATGCGGGTTTGATTTTTATTACACGATGTTATTCCTTCACCGTGGAAGTCAATCGTGAACAATTGTTAAGTACGTATTTCATTAGAAAAATTGGTACCCACCTGCGGGATTCGAACACCATTGCATCGCTATATACGAATGCATCGGACGTCTTATCCTTTAGGCCACGACGACTTCGTGGCCTAATCTCGCTCAAAGCGGGACGTATGGTCACGTTAAGAAAGAGGTCTAAGTCCTTAAAGAGCTTGAACCGGCGTACGCGTCTCCCGATCATCAAATACACGTGAATTTTCCAATCTATCAATGTCCTAGACCATTTCCTTCAAATAAAAAAACACTCACCTTTATAATCAGGAGTTTTGATTTTCCGTATAAGTTTCGGTAGCTCCCAATTCCAGCCGGATTTATGTGATGGGCAGTATCTCTCCATGCAGGCGGTTAATCTTAGAAGAGCCAGCTTCCTCAAGATATGTAATTGTCCGCAGGATAATGAAGCCATTGGTCGCGATACTGCGTTTAAAATGATTGAATTATTATCAAATCTTTCTCTCAGAATGTAAGCCTTACTATGATAGTTCATATCATTCAAACCTATAAATCTGCCGTGGCCTAATGATTGATTTTATCGGTATGATCGCAGAGTCCGGTGACCCTGCAAAAGTTAATAATATCCTACGACAAAAGCTAAAAATATCTATTTTGGTCTGAATATAAATACTAAACTACCACGACAAGAAAAATATTATAAAATTGATCCTATGGAAAATGGAAAATCCATGTTTTCGCAAAATACTAAAAGAAAACGTTTGAAATTAGAACATTCACTCACACACGCCAACACACATAAACACGCACCCACATTCAACATGAAATTCATTAAATTATCATTAGTAATTTTGGCGAACATTATTTGCTTAGTATTACGCCGATTCACTATAGTTTGCGTTAATTAGTTTCGTAGCCTAGAGCAAGATTAGGCTTAATGAAGTACAAGAGAGCTACAGACTTGGTTAAGAAATAGAATATCATTGACGTTCAATTTCAAGTTCACAATATTTTAATTTTCATTTATTTGACTCTGCGGCTTTTACGTACATAAATATGTATGGCATACGACTAGCTACATTTGTATATAAAAGCTTGAAGTTTATTTACTTATTTATATACCATCTATCGCATTCTGATGCCATTTTTATTTTCCTTGAAGTTTAAAGGTTTAAGTGTTGTACTTGGTACTTGGTACTTGGTACTTAGGTACTTGAGGTGGTAGGACCTCTTGTGCGTCCGCACGAGTAGGTACCACTGCCCTGCCTATTTCTGCCGTAATGCGTTTCGGTTTGAAGAGTGGGGCAGCCGTTGTAACTATACTGAGACCTTAGAACTTATATCTCAAGGTGGGTGGCGCATTTACGTTGTAGTTTTCTATGGGCTCCAGTAACCACTTAACACCAGGTAGGCTGTGAGAGCGTCCAGCCATCTAACCAATAAACAAAATACATATGCGTACAGTTAAAAAGGGCTTTAAACAAAAAGTACTTACAGTATGAGTCAGGGTCTTTTTGATTCGGCGCAGGCTGAAGAGTATTGTTGGCTTTCGGTCCTCCGTTTAGGGCACCAGTACGGAAGGAATACCATCTTTGTATACTGCTCCTGAAATAAACAGATAATAATTTTAAATACGCCTACATAATTTTATGATACAATTAATTAATGAGATTGGCTTTACATTTTCAAATTTTAGTTTCTATTTAATTATGAAAATCATTATTCGTATTTTTAATAAGAAATTATAGTGGTCCAAATTTAATCCATAAGATTTTTAGAATGTTTCCAAAAACAGGTCGACTTATTTTCTAGATTAAACTCTCCTTACTTTTTACTCTTCAGATCGAGGCTATCATCGTCATCGTCTTGATCGCCATCATGAGACCTGGAACCCGCAGAATTTGGACTGCTATCAAGCTCAGAGCTCCTTGATGCAGATTTGTCCCTTTTCAGACTTCTGTCGCGGAATCTGTTTGAATATTTAGAAATAATATTTTCCATTCCGACATATTCTAACATATTCGAGAAAGATCGATAGGGATAGATGGTGGTGGAACTTATTAGCTATAAGGCGTAAGGTGAATATACGGCAATGCGGTCATATGGTCCGGTTTTAAACAGTAGATAAATACTATACCATACGATTGAAATTACGAAATATAGTCTCAAGGTAGGTTGTTCTACTTTATACATCTGATTGTCTATGAGCCATTTGCATACCCAATCCTGTGGACCGAATGGTAAATAGTCGACGTCGCCCTAAGCACGTTATTACGGATTTTCCCGATTCATTAACGATGCTTTTAGGTACCTCAAGCACGGGTTACCGTCTTCGTCGAAACCATCGCTTGCGCCGAAGGCCTCAACGATTAAATTAACCTATAGACACAGCCCACTGAGTTTCTCGCCAGATCTTCTCAGCGGATAATTTCCGATCCGGTGGTAGATTCTGCGAAGCTTGCTAGGGCTGATGTTAGCAACACTTCCGTTTTGAGCCCCGTGAGCTCACCTACACGTTAGGGTGAAGCTGAAATAGCTTCTCAAGGCTATCAGCATAAGTAGGGAAACAAGAAGATACAATAAATAACCAATAAACAGTAGGTAGATCATTTACGCAATAAAACACATGAAGTGATATTTGCGCGAATCTCGATCTTCAATTTCAACAACAAACTCTATAATGTTTGTGTTGTTATCATTTGGAGTATTTCTATAGCCTTATTTTTGTGGTGGCAGAAATCATTTTAATGTTGAAATATTTTCCAACTCATATTGTGGTCGATGTTATTCATTAAGTTTCTAAGAACAGAGTAACTGCTTGGCTTTAATTGGCGTCGTTAGTAAAAACATAGTAATATAGCTTGGGGAGCTACAACTTTGTGAGCAATAAATAGAATTTACTAAGATTAAATGGGTGTTGTATATTGCATTTGGATTTGAAGCAAGGCGTATTATCGAATTCAGCGGCACTATAATTGTAAATCGGATCTAATTGAAGTATAGCCTTATTCAGATAAGGATTAGCAATGTTCAGATGTGGGTAGATTCTACGCTACCTATGAATGAAATGTCTGCTCTAGAAGATTTTTTTAATCGAGGCGAGTCATTTTAATTGAATGTTAATTCTATGGCTAATGGCGATGACTAATTACAAATCTAAACAAAAGAAACAGTTCAATCCAGAATATTTATTATGTTATTTAGTTATTACCGAAATTCATCTCAAGCTTGCTATTTAATAATTTATACTATGAAGTGATCTAATCATTCGGATATTATATTACCAATGTATCTAATGTAAATTGTTCTAATGAGCTGTGTTTAGCCTCGTGTGTAATTTAATGTTTCCAGTATTCATTTTCATTTTATCTGTAGGAGTTCAACAGAGTTTGTTTGATGAAATTGATGACTTATATTCATTTATTAGATCACTTTGTTATCAATAGTCAGAGTCTATAGTCTACAGTCTACATAGTTTTAGATTCCCTTAAACACCAAATAGATTTATTATGATTTGTAGTATGCACTTACTTTTGTCCTTCCTTTCCTAGGTTCAATGAACTCGTCCTTATTGCTTGTCGCCTATGCGGGGTGTGTCCTGGAGATTTTTGTACTTCCCGCAATATTTCAGGATCCGCTTTTAGCTCTACTGGTGATGGTGGTTCAACATATACCTAAATAACAAAATAAATAACAATTATTTCTTATTTGGAAGCAATGTCAAATTTTAATATGTGTTCAAGTTAATATCTCACATTGTGATATCACAGTGATGTATAGAAAAATAATATAAGTATTCGAAATGTTCACCTCAGTGTTGTGGGTGTTGATTTCTTTGTAATAATTATGTCTCCAACTAGCCGGCTGACATTCTGAATCACTTAAAGCACTCGAATCATCATTCTTGAGCCCTCTGTTAAATATCCTTTTGGCTCGGCCGAGTTTCGACTTGGAGCTCTTGTTACTAGAACTCATGCTGCCATCTGACGCGTATGAAGAACTGTCATCGCCAAACGGAGGGTTCAGGACGAATGATTGTTCTAGAGGAGCTATCGGTGATGGAGGCATTATGGTCATAGGAGAAGGGGGCTGAGTTCGGATACCAGCGTGTGCTGGTGAACTATGGAAATCGGGGAACGGGAATGCTGTTGGCGAGGTCGGTGTCATATCAATATAGTTCAGATCTGGGTACTGGTCGGTTTGTACATCTAGAAAGTGGGGCGAAGATACGATAACTTCGGTTCTGTTTTGGCGTTTTCTTCTCCTAGTCTTAAGTGATTCAACTCTACGAAGCAATGCTTTGGCTCCATCGCGTAGTCTTTCCGAGCCGGTTCTTCGGAAACGGGTACCCGTTTCTTCTTCATCTTCTTTGTCGCTTGGTAACTGAATTACTGGTTGACCAGGAATGTTTAAACTGAAACAAAATTATTCATTTAGGAATTCGTTTTTTACAAATAATTGCCACATATCATTACATGGAATTAAAAAATATTAGTATATAATACTCTTTTTTTTCTGAAAATTTAATAGCATTTCTTCTTATCCCTGATATTACTTCCATAACGTAGCTTAATCGAGTTTTTGTGAGCGTAAAATGTTAAATTCTAGCTAACGAAACAATTTAAATGCTTTCCAAGAAGCTCACAGTATACGCAGTTACTGAAGTCAATAAAACAAAAGGAAATGAGCTTTACCCAGATTATAATTACAAACTCTGAAACACATTCTCTTCCAAATGGGTCGTAACTTTTGTTAATGTAAGAACTTTTTAGTAGCTGAACTGACAAATCCAACACGACTGTACTTGGAGGGCACAAGAGATAAAGGTCCAAATTAGAATTGATAAACTTTACGACTCTCCCTTCAATTACGTGACAAAAAATTATTTTATATTTTTGATTATTTATTTACTCTTTTCTATTATTTTTCAATTATTTCGAAGATCTTTTTGTTTCCTTATAAACCCTTATTCTTATTTTGTTTCCTTATATGTATATATATGGACGCTTGAAAGGTAAACGTGACTAAGCGACAATAACTGCTTTGTACATAAATTATAGGCAATGACCATATTCGATGCGCAAAAAAAATATATTTCTAGATCTATTAAAATAATTTCAATCCTACAGCTAGATTCGTTAAAATCTAATTTTTTTCAGGTATTTCAACTTTAAATTAGTCTACTGTAAAGTTCACGCATTGTCGCTTAGTCATGTTTGCCTTTCAAGCGTCGATATGTATATTTATCTCCCTGCATGCTCATTAACTATAAAATACTTAATGATCAATGGATTTAAATCTCGAATTACATTTTTTTATAGCTTAATCGGGTGGCCAAGACCATGGTCTACCTGGCGTTAATGGCCACCGGAGCCCATTTGTTTACTAATGTTTCACATCTATGCGAAGAAGTCAAACATTCTGGTGTGAGTGGTACCACTATAGCACTCAGTACTAATTGAGTCTTGAATCTTATTTGTCTAGGTTCATCGCAAAATTCAGTGATATTTAGGATTTTCAATGCTTAATACGAGGTGAGCCCTGAAGCCGTCTGTTTGTTTGAAGAAAAACAAATTTGACTATAGTAAAATATATTGTACATTTTAAGTTAACATATTAATATAGTGTTTGAACAGAAGTACGTATAGCCTATTTTAATATTCAAAAGAGATTTAATTCAGTCGAAATTAATGTTTGCCTCGTGCATTGCACAACACTCCGCGACAACAATATTACGAGAGGGAATTAAAAATTTACGTATGTGAAAAGTTTTAATGAGATACTGCGGTTTTGTATCTGCATCAGAATATTTCCCAGCTTTTGTGACGCAATTAATTAACTACGAATCATAAGAGATGACATTTTGGTTTTTATTTTATATAAATGTATTTTCTTCCTTACCTATTTATTCCCTGGTAGCCTGAGAAGCTAGACAAGCTACGCCTGGACAGGTAGGTTAACTCACTCTTCAGAGAATTTTCTAACACTAGCCTTAGCAAGAGTCTACCACCGGATCGGAATCGCGACATATAATCGCGATAACATTTTTGAAGTGAAAACTTCTTTAGAATCGTTGTGATTTCAAACCGGATGCAACGGAAAAAACGACAGGTAAGAGACACAAATACAAAAATGTGTAGGATGAAGCCAGCAAAGAATGAGACAGAAATATACATACTATTTAATACAGCGCCATCTGTGAGATTTTTTAATACTAACGAGTGTATGAAAGCTCTTGTAGTGAATTTTAATTTAGGATTATACGTGAAATTAAAATATCAATTCACAGAGGGCGCTACCTTACAATTATTTACTAATGACAAAATTTTACATATACTTAAGACGTTTAGGATAATTGTATTTTAATTTTGGAAGGTTTCACTTCTACCACGTGTGAATTGCACACATGTATTTTTTTTATATTGGTNCCTGCCTATTTCTGCCGTGAAGCAGTAATGCGTTTCGGTTTGAAGGGTGGGGCAGCCGTCGTTACTATACTTGAGACCTTAGAACTTGTATCTCAAGGTGGGTGGCGCATTTACGTTGTGGATGTCTATGGGCTCCAGTAACCACTTAACATCAGGTGGGCTGTGAGCTCGTCCACCCATCTAAGCAATAAAAAATAAAAAAACCTTCTAGTTGTCTATGGGCTCCAGTAACCACTTAACACCAGGTAGGCTGTGAGAGCCTCCACCCATCTTATCAATAAACAAAATATATATGCGTACAGTTAAAAAGGGCTTTAAACAAAAAGTACTCACAGTATGAGTCAGGGTCTTTTTGATTCGGCGCAGGCTGAAGAGTATTGTTGGCTTTCGGTCCTCCGTTTAGGGCACCAGTACGGAAGGAATACCATCTTTGTATACTGCTCCTGAAATAAACAGATAATAATTTTAAATACACCTACATAATTTTATGATACAATTAATTAATGAGATTGGCATTACATTTTCAAAATTTAGTTTCTGTTTAATTATGAAAATCATTATTCGTATTTTTAATAAGAAATTATAGTGGTCCAAATTAATCCATAAGATTTTTAGAATGTTTGCAAAAACAGGTCGACTTATTTTCTAGATTAAACTCTCCTTACTTTTTACTCTTCAGATCGAGACTATCATCGTCATCGTCTTGATCGCCATCATGAGACCTGGAACCGGCAGAATTTGGACTGCTGTCAAGCTCAGAGCTCCTTGATGCTGATTTGTCCCTTTTCAGACTTCTGTCGCGGAATCTGTTATGAATACTCAGAAATAATATTTTCCATTCCGACATATTGTAAAGTTTTCGAGAAAGATCGATAGACAGGGATAGGTGGTGGTGGGACTTATTAGCTATAAAGCGTAAGGTGAATATTCCTACGGCAATGCGGTCACATGGTCCGGTTTTACACAGTAGATAAATACTATATCATACGATTGAAAGTACGAAATATAGTCTTAAAGTAGGTTGTTGTACCTTGTACATTTGTTTGTCTATGAGTCATTTACATACCCGATCGTATGGACAGAATGGTAAACAGTCAACTTCGCCCTAAACACGGTATTACGGATCCTCCTAATCCATTAACGATGCTTTTAGGTACCTCAAGCACGGGTTACCGTCTTCGCCGAAACCATCGCTTGCGCCGAAGGGCTCAACGATTAAATTAACCTATAGACACAGCCCACTGAGTTTCTCGCCAGATCTTCTCAGCGGATAATTTCTGATCCGGTGGTAGATTCTGCGAAGCTTGCTAGGGCCGGTGTTAGCAACACTTCCGTTTTGAGCCCCGTGAGCTCACCTATACGTTATGGTGAAGCTGAAATAGCTTCTCAAGGCTATCAGCATAAGTAGGGAAAAAAGAAGATACATCAAATAACCAATGAACAGTAGGTAGATCATTTACGCAATAAAACACATGAAGTGATATTTGCGCGAATCTCGATCTTCAATTTCAACAGCAAACTCTATAATGTTTGTGTTATCATTTGGAGTATTTCTATAGCCTTATTTTTGTGGTGGCAGAAATCATTTTAATGTTGAAATATTTTCCAACTCATATTGTGGTCGATGTTATTCATTAAGTTTCTAAGAACGGAGTAACTGCTTGACTTTAATTGGCGTCGTTAGTAAAAACATAGTAATATAGCTTGGGGAGCTACAACTTTGTGAGTAAAAAATAGAATTTACTAAGATTAAATGAATGTTATATAATATTGCATTTGGATTTGACGCAAGGCGTATTATCGAATTCAGTGGCACTATAATTATAAATCACACTTATAGCTTATATCCGGATCTAATTGAAGTATAGCCTTATTCAGATAAGGATTAGCAATGTATAGATGTAGGTAGATTCTACGTTACCTATGAATAAAATATCTGCTCTAGAAGAATTTTTTAATCGAGGCGAGTCATTTTAATTGAATGTTAATTCTATGGCTAATGGCGATGACTAATTACAAATCTAAACAAAAGAAACAGTTCAATCCAGAATATTTATTATGTTATTTAGTTATTACCGAAATTCATCTCAAGCTAGCTATTTAATAATTTATACTATGCAGTGATCTAATCATTCGGATATTATATTACCAATGTATCTAATGTAAATTGTTCTAATGAGCTGTGTTTAGTCTCGTGTGTAATTTAATATTTCATTTATTTAATGTTTCGTTTTCATAATATTCATTTTCATTTTATCTGTAGGAGTTCAATAAAGTTTATTTGATGAAGTTGATGACTTATATTCATTTACTAGATCACTTTGTTATCAATAGTCAGAGTCTACAGTCTACTTCTGTAGACTTTAGATTAGATTCCCTTAAACACCAAATAGGAATTTATAATGATTTGTAGTATGCACTTACTTTTGTCCTTCCTTTCCTAGGTTCAATGAACTCGTCCTTATTGCTTGTCGTCTATGCGGGGTGTGTCCTGGAGATTTTTGTACTTCCCGCAATATTTCAGGATCCGCTTTTAGCTCTACTGGTGATGGTGGTTCAACATATACCTAAATAACAAAATAAATAACAATTATTTCTTTGGAAGCAATGTCAAATATGTGTTCAAAGTTAATATCTCACATTGAGATATCACTACCAAAAATTTGATGAAATTATCTAACATCATATTTATGTAAAATATATTTGTATATAGGCTGCACTAGGCCGTATCGTTCGCTCGCAAAGGCGTGTATTACCATCTTAGGAATTTGTGTCGCAAAATAGTATTATTTTGGTGTTTGGAAAGAAATAGCTGTTACACAGTTCAGGTAATTGGGTTATATAAGCTTCGACTGGCCATAAGGCGGTGCATCATTTTGTTATCTATAAAAATTGTACACAGTGATGTATAGAAAAATAATATAAGTATTCGAAATGTTCACCTCGGTGTTGTGGGTGTTGATTTCTTTGTAATAATTATGTCTCCAACTAGCCGGCTGACATTCTGAATCACTTAAAGCACTTGAATCATCACTCTTGAGCCCTCTGTTAAATATCCTTTTGGCTCGGCCGAGTTTCGACTTGGAGCTCTTGTTACTAGAACTCATGCTGCCATCTGACGCGTATGAAGAACTGTCATCGCCGAACGGAGGGTTCAGGACGAAGGATTGTTCTAGAGGAGCTATCGGTGATGGAGGCATTATGGTCATAGGAGAAGGGGGTTGAGTTCGGATACCAGCGTGTGCTGGTGAACTATGGAAATCGGGGAACGGGAATGCTGTTGGCGAGGTCGGTGTCATATCAATATAGTTCAGATCTGGGTACTGGTCGGTTTGTACATCTAGAAAGTGGGGCGAAGATACGATAACTTCGGTTCTGTTTTGGCGTTTTCTTCTCCTAGTCTTAAGTGATTCGACTCTACGAAGCAATGCTTTGGCTCCATCGCGTAGTCTTTCCGAGCCGGTTCTTCGGAAACGGGTACCCGTTTCTTCTTCATCTTCTTTGTCGCTTGGTAACTGAATTACTGGTTGACCAGGAATGTTTAAACTGAAACAAAATTATTCATTTAGGAATTCGTTTTATACAAATAATTGCCACATAACATTACATGGAATTAAAAAATATCAGTATATTACTACTCTTTTTTTTCTGAAAATTTAATAGCATTTCTTCTTATCCCTGATATTACTTCCATAACGAAGCTTAATCGAGTTTTTGTGAGCGTAAAATGTAAAATTCTAGCTAACGAAACAATTTAAATGCTTTCCAAGAAGCTCACAGTATACGCAGTTACTGAAGTCAATAAAACAAAAGGAAATGAGCTTTACCCAGATTATAATTACAAACTCTGAAACACATTCTCTTCCAAATGGGTCGTAACTTTTGTTAATGTAAGAACTTTTTAGTAGCTGAACTGACAAATCCAACACGACTGTACTTGGAGGGCACAAGAGATAAAGGTCCAAATTAGAATTGATAAACTTTACGACTCTCCCTTCAATTACGTGACAAAAAAAATTTTTTATATTTTTGATTATTTATTTACTCTTTTTTATTATTTTTCAATTATTTCGAAGATCTTTTTGTTTCCTTATAAACCCTTATTCTTATTTTGTTTCCTTATAATAATATGTATATATATGGACGCTTGAAAGGTAAACGTGACTAAGCGACAATAACTGCTTTGTACATAAATGATAGGCAATGACCATATTCGATGCGCAAAAAATATATATTTCTAGATCTATTAAAATAATTTCAATCATACAGCTAGATTCGTTAAAATCTAATTTTTTTCAGGTATTTCAACTTTAAATTAGTCTACTGTAAAGTTCACGCATTGTCGCTTAGTCATGTTTGCCTTTCAAGCGTCGATATGTATATTTATCTCCCTGCATGCTCATTAACTATAAAATACTTAATGATCAATGGATTTAAATCTTGAATTACATTTTTTATAGCTTAATCGGGTGGCCAAGACCATGGTCTACCGGGCGTTAATGGCCACCGGAGCCCATTTGTTTACTAATGTTTCACATCTATGCGAAGAAGTCAAACATTCTGGTGTGAGTGGTAGCACTATAGCACTCAGTACTAATTGAGTCTTGAATCTCCTTTGTCTAGGTTCATGGCAAAATTCAGTGATATTTAGGATTTTCAATGCTTAATACGAGGTGAGCCCTGAATCCGTTAGCTTGTCTGAAGAAAAACAAATTTGACGATAGCAAAATATACCATACATTTTAAGTTCACATATTAACATACTGTTTGCACAGAAGTACGTATAATCTATATATTAATACGTGAAGCTAAAACTTTGTATCCCTTTTTACGAAAATTGCGCGGACGGAGGAGTATGAAATTTTTCACACGTAGGTATAGAGAATATAGAGAAAAAGTGCACAATGCTAATATTTTTTTAATATAATGCATAAAAGATACATAAAATCAATAAAGAAAACATTACACACACTACATACCATGTATTTGACGCACACACGCATGCATACTACATATTTATTGTCAAACTTTTGTTCTTGACGTCTGTTGTCAAATTGAGAATAGATTAAATATCATTTGTCTTTATTAATATTTTTTATAGTGTAGCCTTGGCGAAATTTGTGATTATAGAAGTACAATTCTATCATAATAGTATACAAACTTATTATACAATTCCAATTAATTATAGTCGAATTTCGACTACTGCGGGACCTCTAGTCTATTTTAATATTCAAAAGAGATTTAATTCAGTCGAAATTAATGTTTGCCTCGTGCATTGCACAACACTCCGCGACAACAATATTACGAGAGGGAATTAAAAATTTACGTATGTGAAAAGTTTTAATGAGATACTGCGGTTTTGTATCTGCATCAGAATATTTCCCAGCTTTTGTGACGCAATTCATTAACTACGAATCATAAGAGATGACATTTTGGTATTTATTTTTATATTATATAAATATTTTTTTCTTCCTTACCTATTTATTCGCTGGTAGCCTGAGAGGCTATTCAAGCTACGCCTGGACAGGTAGTTAACTCACGGGCTCAGCTTCAGAGAATTTTCTAACACTAGCCTTAGCAAGAGTCTACCACCGGATCGGAATCGCGATATATAATAGCGATAACATTTTTTTAATACGGGCCTTTTATGAAATATTTCTATTCCACTGTTTAAAGTCTACGAAATTAAGCAGAGTGCAGCCCAGTTCCGCTGAACCCGTCTGAGTCAACAAAACTTCTTGGTAGAACGAAAAAAATTATGAAAAGTTCAAATATATTAATTAAAAAAGAAAGAAATAAAAGATAACTAAAAGAAAATATTTTTACGAAGTAGCTACGAATACTAAATATTCGCTAAAATAATTTTCGTTATAATCAAGGGCGACAAGTGGTTTTCGAATACATTCGACACACGATTATATCTCATTTAATTAGCGGTAAAAGCGTGAGGTTTACTAGTAGTCTATTAAAACAGAAAAACAATGTACAGTACCAGGCAATAAATATTGCTCATCGATATTTAGAAAGAGACAGTCGTCTAATTTTGTTTTTGTTGTAGAGCGTTACCTGTGTGCGACGAAACACTAACGATCCGGTATCTATGGAGACTAAAATATATCAATTAGGTAATGTGCGACAGATATAACGCTCTACGAAGCAAAAATTTACCGTATCTTTCCCAGGGTCGATGTGCAGTATTTATCGCCGGGTACTGTATCTTGCGCATTTTATAGCCAAAATTATATTCCAAATGCCACTTAATACACACTTTTTTTACTACTCGTAAAGCTGTTATTAAGCAGAACTGAATTAGAGATCGGACTTCGAAAAAAGTTTTACAATAAAACAATTTGTACGGTAGAAATTAATGTTCACTAACTTTAACTACCAATTTGTACTTCGAGTAATGGACGCTCCTGAAGTTATAGCCTGAGTGTAGAATTTCAGTGAGCTTTAATTAATAAATCGAGTTGGTCCTGCAAGAAGCCGTTTTGATGTCATGTTTATGGTCAGTCCAATTTCAGTTATGACGACCGTAAATTGTTAGGTAATTCCTAGTTATTTCATTTTGATTGGTGGTAGGACCTCTTATGAGTCCGCACGGGTAGGTACCATCGTCCTGCTTATTTCTGCCGTGAAGCAGCAATGCATTTTGGTTTGAAGGGCGGAACAGCCATTGTAACTATACTTGAGACCTTGGGACGTATATTCTCAAGGTGGGTGGCGCATTTACGTTGTAGATGTCAACGGGCTCCAGTAACCATTTACCACCAGGTGGGCTGTGAGCTCGTCCTCCCATCTAAGCTATTAAAAAAATATCTGCTATGTTCGTTCATATGATAGTTTCGTTTAGTTTACAAGTTACGCCTGTCTCCCTAACAATACATGCGAATATACCTATATAGTTCTAATATTGAATATTATAAGTACACCAAAATTCATATTTTAATTTCTTATTTTCTTATTAATCTACAGATCTGAAGTAATCGATTTATGCGATAGTATTGGCCATTGTATTGTAAAAATGTATGAAATAAAGTTGCGCTGCGTTTGCGGTAGAATCATTCATTTCTTGAACTACCCTCCTGTTAATTTTATTATATTACTATGAAAATTTCCCTAGAGAACAAAAATCGTAACAACCTTAATCAAAATTAAATAAGCTATTTAGACGACAAACATAGGAACAATCACTAGATTTTTTTTTTTTTTAATTACTTCAATAAACACAAAAGCATTTTTTTATATTGCTTAGATGGATGGACGAGCTCACAGCCCACCTGATGTTAAGTGGTTACTGGAGCCCATAGACATCTACAACGTAAATGCGCCACCCACCTCGAGATATAAGTTCTAAGGTCTCAGTATAGTTACAACGGCTGCCAGGCCCTTCGAACCGAAACGCATCAATGCTTCACCGCAGAAATAGGCAGGGCGGTGGTACCCACCCGCGCGGACTCACAAGAGGTCCTACCACCAGTAATTACGCAATTTATAATTTTGCGGGTTTGATTTTTATTACACGATGTTATTCCTTCACCGTGGAAGTCAATCGTGAACATTTGTTGAGTACGTATTTCATTAGAAAAATTGGTACCCGCCTGCGGGATTCGAATACCGGTGCATCGCTTCATACGAATGCACCGGACGTCTTATCCTTTAGGCCACGACGACTTCAAGCATACTCTATCTAATTAACATTATAACAACATTATAATTTAGTGAATATTCTACTTCTTAATTATTATTCACTTATATCACGTAACTGAATAAAAAAGTAATTATTTTTGTTTATGTTAATAAAGTGCCAGTAACGCTATGTACGATTAATCTTTATTTAAAAGCTTTCTGCTCCAAAAACTTAACGCCCTGTAGCTTATCGGGGTCGATGTAATAAAATAAGGCTGGGGTTTCAATAGCCGCGATTTTATTAACACATATCTATAGATAGATGTTAGCGATTAAAGTAATTGCGTATGTGTATTCGATTTTTAAGAAATTATTCATTTATCTAGAATTTTATTCGAGATTAATCCACTTATTAACATACAAAAAAGTGTATATGTAAAATTCATATGACACCTTCAAAAGTATTTACATCTCATTCCGTTGCGGGTTAACTTCAATTTATACATGTGTCTGTCCCTTTTTAGTGTCGCCTTTTCGTTTCACCGAGTTTTAAATAACAATGGTGCTAAAAAAATACCTTCAATAAATTATCAATTATCAACGAGTAAGAAATATTTTAGTGTGAACGGATTGTCGAATGGGGGCATTATATAATGTTTCACAATCAAAAGATGTGAGGATTAAGGAGATACTTGTATAGAGAAAGAAGTTTTTGATACTAAATGTAAAGATATTTTCGTAAGAGAAGTAACAGCTAGAGGCGACGGTCGTATCTATACTTCTATACTATAATATTATAAAGAGGAAAGATTTGTTTGTTTGTTTGGTTTTATTAGGCTCCGAAACTACTGAACCGATTTAAAAAAATATTTTATTGTTGGAAAGCTACGCTATCCCCGGGTGTCATATTTATTAAA